TTCCCTTCTCTCTGTTAGAGATCTGAATTATCAATGACCCAAAGGCTTTTTTATTCATTAAAATAATTAGTTTTACCTTTCGATTCTTCTAAGGCCAGTGAATTTAAAATTCTTATAATTTTGCCTAAATGAAAACATATATTATGCAGTAGGGAAAAAGATGCATATGTGATTAGTCTATGATTATCTTTCTGTTAAAATAAATCTAAACAAATGGGATTTTTATTGTTCCAGTGCAGACTATCTGGATGCTAACTTATTCTAAATTGGTCATAAGCCACAGTCCATTCAAGTTTGTTCAGAGAGCAGAGGCAAATGTGTAGCTTTTATTATTTTTAAATATAGTTAGGTTTTTTTCATTCTTTTTAACATTTTCTGGTTATAGGTAATAAATGAAGCTATACATTACTGCTTTGTGTACCTGATATGTCAGCATGATATTCTTAAAAGCACCAATGATATGATTTGATTTGAATTTTTAATAACTGAGCACCTTGCAGAAGCCACTGTAAGTAAATGATGGTTAAAATTAGATAGACACATAAAGTGAACTCAGTGTCAATTTGTCTTTGAACTCCAGATGCCTACTGTGAGAGGCAACAGTGCGTGACTGGAGGATGAATAAACAGTGTACATTACTTTAAAGATAGAGAAAGAGCAATGCCTATGTGTGTGTATATATATATACAGAGAGATTCACTGTTATATTGAGAAGATGCGAGTACAGACCTTCCAGAGCTGACTTTAGGGAACCTTCTTTGGGAAAGGTGAAGCAATGAAGATGCAGAGGCATCAGCTGCAGCAACCTGAATGAACTGTGTCTGACACTGCTGCTGTGCCTTCCCACTAGCTGCTGTGCTCAGGCCTAGCATGATTCATGCATCATGTCTTGACACTCAGTCAATGCATGGTGGTGTAGAGTGAATGAGGTCCACATTGCTCCTTTCTGCAGGTACATCACCTGGCAGAAGCAGCAACTTCTCTGTTAAACAATCTGAACTAACTGGATCCCCTTCATTCAGTTGCCAATACAGCAGAAAATAGTGTTTTGCCTTGTTAAAAAGTTGGTTTGGCTTGTTCTGCAGTTACACAAATATGTGAGATGGCATGAGAAGCAGCAGATGTAAGGTGAGAGAGGGTGACTAAAGGGGACCAAGTCCAGATCTTTTCAGGAGTTTAATAACTTAACAGTATTGTTTAATCTAGTAGAAATGATAACTAGCTGCTCATTACTAATTGGTTACTAATATTTACATTCCGTACCACATTATGATGCTTCTATAACCTAAAAAAACCATGTTAATGTGTTTGGTTCTCTTATTATGTAAATTAAATAAGTTTTTTTTCAGGGGGAGATGAAAACATAGCACATGACACTCCTATAGTGTTCAACTGGAAGGAACAGTCTTGTGCATGCTGAGAAGCTGGTTAATTTAATGCCTCAAAGTGGCCCTCTGCTGTTAGAGGGGTTAGAATAAAGGAAAATAGTTTCCCCAGTGTGGAGCAGTTAGCAAAATGTAACAACTAACAATTTGCTATAGAATTACAAAACTGGTTATTTAACCCTAAAATATCAAGCTTTAGAATTACTGCTTTCTCCGCCAGCCTGTAGCTGGACGGGGTGGAGACGTTGTCTGCTGTCAAGTACTGGTACCACCTGTACAGCCAAGCCTGTAAGGTTTGCCATAGAGAGTGCTGTAGGACGTGTGGATAAATGGGTGACATTTTTTTCTATTATGTGGAAGATGCCAATCTTATTCAGTTCCCAGATTTGCTAAAAGTTATCTTGTTTAAATTTTTATGTACTGAACAAGTAAGTTAATGACCTTACTTCCTAATGCCAGGGAGAAAATTTTCTCATAAAAATGCTTTATACTGGAAAATGTTGATTGACCTAAATCAAGGCCTTATGAGGGAATATAACTTTTATTTAAAGGGAGTTTTAGCAAAATATTATAGAGGTTTTCTATGTTCTTGACAGGTTTTTAATGTATTATTATGGACGAAATATTTCTAGAAGGTTAAAAAAAATTTGTTATATTTTACTTTGTGAACAATTCTGATATTTTTATTTTTTTCTTACTGATTCATGATGAATACAGTGTTTAATACCATTGCTGCAGCTCCAGCAAGTACAGTGAAACTCGGTATTGCACTCCAATAAAACATTTAACTTAAGAAGTTTCCTCCTTTCCCTTGTGAACCACCGAGTGCCTGGAAAATCATTGGATTAGGCATTAATATACAACTGACCTCCTTGAGTGATGCTTTTTTTTTTGTTTAGAAGGACTTACAGCAGGGACTTGTTAGAGGCTTGCAGACACAGATTTCTTCATGAGGGCCATTCTGTTCTTCTCTAACTGGCGGTTCAAGTAACACAAGTATGATCTTCTTCAAACATCTTTCTCCCTGCTGTTTTTCTGCGGCCAAGGAAACTTGCATGGGCTTTCTCCTGCAGTAAATCCTCCTCCTGTGAATTCAACCTTTTCCAGTCATGGACATCTACTCCCGTGAGCAGGACTTCTCCTGCCTCTGGGCTGTTGCAGCACTGTGACGATTCCCCACTTTCCCAGTAGTGCCGCCATTCCTCGGAGAGTCCAGGAGATGCTGGTTTATGATTCAGTTTTATTTTCCTCATCGGGGTTCTCCCTAATGATATTCAGTGGTTTATTATCTGATCTATTTCATGCAATACACTTGCCACCTCTAAAATGTATATATATGAGTAGTTTCAGTAATTTTTCTATTCCTGTCATATCAGCAGAATTTCTCCATCTTTATGGACAGAGCTGTGTATAAACTCTCTGTGAAAATTTTAATCCTCTGACCAGGAGGATTAAAGAGTTTTCACCCAAGCAATGTTTACGTGTTAAGGTAAAATCTGTTTTTTTTTTTAATATTTTTTTAACTGAAAAAAATAGTCTTCTGATACAATTTTGATGAAAAGGCAAATTTTTGTAACTTGATTGCAACCTAAGTATGCAGTAGGGTAGCTGGTACGTGTGAGAATTTTTAACTGATGATACTCTGATACTACTGATCTGCATCATATTTGAACAAGTAGAATTCGTGTCTTGTGGGTACAATCGGAGAAACAAGAACAAGGACACCTTTGTTCTTGAACATATGAGAAGAGCTTGTGATGTTATAAGCAAAAATATTACTGTATGTAGAAAAGGTCAAATATTGGGGTTTTGGTCACAAAAATATTTTTACACTAATGCCTCTGGATGGTATTTTTGTTCATTTGTTAGTCAAAAATAGTAATGATATAATGCTCTTAGTCATCTTGTAATTTACATCCCTGCTCTCAGCTTTCATCTGCTGCGCACAATTGGTCAGGCACTCTCTGCAGTGAGGTGCTCTTCAGCCACAGACTTTACAAGCCGAGCACTGCTGTTGAAAAAGCAATCATGAGCAATGTAATATTTCAAGGGCTCCTAATTGAAAAAGGAAAACTAATTTCCACTGGGTCACTCATATCCATTGTGCGAATTATGGTTTGAAGGGAGTTTGTTATAATGTTTTCCCAAATCATTCTAGAGAGGTCTGTTATAAAAACTCTGCCCTTTTTTTTAATCCCCAGAGAACCTATAGCTGATAGTTTGGAAGGGCATTCTGGAGACTGCCTCTTGCAGGATAAGCAGGCCTTTTATATAATTACTTGATCAGTCTGATAACAAAAATTTTTGTCTGAGCTGGCACTTCTGCAATAGAGCAGTTCTAATTTGTGGCACTGAAGTGAATGCTTGGAGTAAACTTAACAAGTGACATCAAGAAAATATATCAGACATTAACTACTTCAGAGGTAGCACTGCCTTTGCAAATGCAGACGTAGGCACTGCTTTAGCAATATGGCAAATTTTTCACAAGGTGATTCAACTTGAGATTGAGTCTTTTGTAATGGAAAAAGAATCATGTTTGATTCTATTCTGAGCTATGTATTTTGTGCTTTAAATATTTATTTAATGCCTACCATAGTTATTCATTTTTTCCTAATGTACTGATTGATATGAATATCTCAATGCCAGAAATCATTATGTAGTACTTTGAAATTATTTTACTTGTTGCATCAAAAATACCTATGTTACATATAGAAAAAAAAGGCAGTTAAGTTGTCTGTCATTTTTTACCAAGCTGATATCAGTAGCAATGACATTTTAAACCCTTTTTAGCAACATATAGAGGATAAATAATACTGTTCTGTCACATGAAACATTTCACTAAGTTGATAAGGTTGTATCACCTATCTGTCCCAAAGAAAAGGGTGACATTAAACATATGCAGGATGTTGTTACATCTGAAATTTATTGTTTGGGTTGGGTTTGTTTGTTTGTTTGTTTGTTTGTTTGTTTTCAGCCCTGTACCACAAATAGGCTGTTCTAAATAGATATTACTCATTAGGTAACTGATCTTAAGGAAATTAGATATTTGGAGACTGGCAGATCCCTTTTCTATGATAGCATTTGAGAAAGGGGAATCAATTAGCATGATGCAGAGGCAGTGTTGTTCAGAGTGTGATCGCTGTTTAAAGTGAATGGAAAGCAATCCTGCCTTCACTTTCTGCAGACATGGAGAAATACAATGCTCTAGGATGCTCTTTGATCTTTAGGGGTCTAAGACAACAACAGATGAAAGAACAGCTCAATAGTGGAACTTACATTGTTGTTACAAATACATAAAGATACAAATCTTAACCTGACAATCAAGAAATACGTAAAAAGCTGGATGAGAAGGCAAAGGAAGACACAGATACGTTTTTGTAAAGTCTTGGTTCTTATGTAAAGTCTTGGTTCTTGCCTCTTCTTAAGAGGCAACTTTGTGCCACTCATCACCACCCTCTGGGCCTAATCACTCAACCAGTTTTTGACTCAGCTCGCTCTTTGCTCATCCAGCCCAAACATCAACAGCTGGTCTGTGAGGATCTTACAGGAGACAGTGTCAAAGGCCTCACTGAAGTCCACGTAGATGCCGCTCTCCCTTCATCTACCAGGGCAGTCATGCCGTCTCAGAAGTTTATCAAGCTAGTCAAGTATGACTTCTGCTTGGTGAATCCATGATGACTACTCCTGATGATTTTCCAGTTGTTCATATGCCTGGAAGTGAGATCCAGGACTAGCTGTTCCATCACCTTCCCAGGGACCTCGGTGAGTCTGACTGGACTGTAGTACCCTGGTTCATCCTTCTTGCTTGTCTTGGAGATAGGATTGACGCTTGCTTCTCTCTAGTCTTTGGGCAGTTCTCTCAATTACTATGATTGATCAACAGTTCTCCAGAGTGGCCTTGTGGTAGCATCTGCCAGCTCCCTCAGCACCTGTGCGTCATGCTGAGACATGCCATTGTCTCACTCTTGGCCAGGCAATCTCTGCTGTTTTACACCCCCCAGAGCAGGTATCGAACACCAGTCTGCATGTTTTCATAGTCAATTCAAAGGCTGAGATTTGCAGACTTTGAGGACATCTAAGGGCACTGTACTCCTGCAGAATTCAGTGGGGTTTGAAGGTGTTCAGTCCTTCTTCATGGACAGATCTCTAAAACAACACTCTTGCTTTTGCTTGAGGCAGAACTTGATTCTGCCACAGAGGTGCAACCATCGCACACACAAATTCGATTCTGTGCAAGTGTAAAATGACATGCTAACTGTTTTATCTTCAACTGATTAATTAAAAAGGAAGATCTCTAGTGATAGTCAAGCCTGGAGTGCAGTCTTGAGACAAATGTTGCAATTTTACTACTTCTTTTTTACATTACAGTGATCTACAAAATGTTTAAAAGCAGATAGAAGAAAAAAATTGCTCAGTATGTAAAAGACAAAAAAGAATATCACTGTTTGAGAACCTGAGGATCACAAATTTTAAACAGCTTTAGAAATTATATAACATTTCTGAAGTAACCCAGAGGCAGAATATTGATATATCCAGTGAATTTATACAATGGAGAAATGCCCTGATAAAAATAGGAACTGAGCACAAGCGATTCAGAATGGATCTCGAATTTCTAAATTGAACATGTAATGAAAATTCTAAATAGGTATCTTAAATTCTATCCATTGTGCTTTGTGAACATCAGTTAGAAAAGAAAAATAAAGTTTAGCTCATGCTGGGAGAAAAAAAGGAAGAAAATCTGGGTGAATGTGAGGGACCACCTCACTTTCATGCATAACGGGACCATCAATTCAACTTCTATCAAACATGAAGTCTCCATAGGTTTAGCAGAAGCAAGAATGCTTTATAAATGTCTTCAGTTATTGTTGCTGTTTTGGTAAAGCCTGAAGAATATACTTGTACATTTTCTGATAGAAATTTACGTCTCTCTAAATCTAAACTTCCTACCATTTTTCTCAGAAACCTCTTCATGTCCTATCTTTATCATTCATTTTCTAGCATTTGTCAAAACCATATGCTTATTGGTCAATATTTTACTCAGTTTGATTTATTGGATTCATCAGTTTATTGCTATAAAAGTCAGTATTTACCTGCAACAACATGGCAGTATACTCATGTTTTGGAATACCTGTATGCATATCCACAGGGATTTCTCCATGTAAAGTATTTATTCTACTGTAAATAAAAAAGAATGAATATCCTCTGAAATACCTAGTGTGATGCAATGATCTCAGTGAAATTGTGTAACTCAAAAGTTAATGGAAATTCTTTCAGTCAAGTTCTTTTCCCCATTTTCTCTTTTACCTGATTGTGAGTGTTGCAATGAATTTTTTCTGCGTTCTGCTAATACGTAATCTGAAAGAACTGTCCTCCACTCACAGTGCATGGAAATAAAAGAGTGTACAGGTCTGAAAAGACAGGATATTTGCTTTTTGCCCTGTGGCTAAGGCCTCAGCGCTTCAGAGCAACGATTACAAAGGAAGTCCCGTTTACTGCCAGCAGAGAAAATTGTCTGTTTTGGACAGATTCTTTGGGAAATTTAGCTGCAAGGATCTAGAAAATGTCTACCAAGAACATACAGTCTGAGATTTGAGTTTGTTATTTGTTTGTTTTGTTTTGTTTTGATCACAGTTTGGGTAGATTTTCAGCATTGATAAAGGCATGTTTTCTCACACAAAGCTACCTTTCTTGCAACTTTTGCATTCTTGATCCAAGTCACAGGAAGTTCTCTCAAGGGTTTGCAAGAAGTTTTTTTATAAGGTTAAATAAGATCATGTTGCTATTATAACTCCATAATCAAAAATCACTGTACTTTTTTGATTGAAATAAAACCAATAATTTGGTTTTAATGACTCAGTCAGTCTGAGTCATTTACTTGACATTGATATTGCTTTTGGTATATGTACTGAAAATAGATTTCTATAATGGGACAAGTCAGATCCCATAATGTCTGGTGACCTTAAGAACCTCACCTGCAATATACTAAAATGATTTTGATATAAAAACTCTTAATCACATAATAGAACTGTATTTCCTAATAAATATATCTAAACTGAACCTTGTTTAACTCCCAGATTTGGAGCTTCAGCATTATAAGTCCAGGTGTATAACTTAGGCTAATCTTATGCTGAGTTGTCCATGAGGTTCCTAATGTTCATTATAAGCCTTCCTTATCCATCAATGTGTGGAGTACAATTCACCTGGATGCATATATGAAAATATTTCTGGCAGCAGTGGGTGCTTGCTTGTAATTAATAGATTTAATATTTGGGATCCTGATAGGAATGGAGATTATGCTTCAGGTTATTAATATATTTCTAACATATATGTCGTCTGCAGTGACAGCTGTTACACTTTGATCATTTACTTTCATTTACTTGCTATTCATTTTGATCAGTTTGGGCCATTTGCTATTTGATTACGTTATCTTTTGATCTACTTCAGAATTCTCGCCTTTGTAAACGTATTTTAATGTCACATCAACTTTGTGCCCTTTTTTCTAATTTCTTTAGTTTTCTCTGTGAAAATATGACTGAACTGTATGGACTACCAAGTTTTACTCAACCGGCTTGAATGGCTTTTTTGTTTCAGTCTTTATTATGAGAAATAATTGGTTTCTAAAATATTACGGAAACTTTCAAGGTGTGGTGTAAATGTGCCCTTTTTCTGCTACATTTCCAGATCTATTTCAATGCCTGTCAAATTGAAATGAGAGGTCTTAAGAGCTGTGGCATTCTTCTCAGGCTTAAGTGTTTATCACCTGTCTCTGGGAAGATAATACATACATTTGACTGCCTCTCAGCCCACCCAAACACCAGGAAAGTTCTGAGATTCATTCCCATTTCAATATTTATTCTGAGTTCTGAGGAACCTAAAGTAGCAAAAAGTACAATGTCTAACGTGACATCTCATCTCCCACTCTTCACCTAACTTTGCAAGTAGCAGCAGATTGCACTCAAAGTGACTTTTTTCTTGTTCTCCTGTCTCTGTGAAACTTATCTTTCTGGTGACACAATGACACATCTTCAATGGAAGGTGTGAAATCTGCTGCCATTCAGAACATTATTCTCCCTTAGCCCATACCCAACAATATTCTGTTTTGGGATGTGGGAGCTTGGGATTTAAACCTTTTAACTATCACCTGTCACCTCAGCTAACAAGGACTTTGTTGAGTTTGCTCCATAGCATTTCTTTAGGCATTTAAGATGTCGGAAGCATCTCTGAATATTTAGTCAGAGCTTTTCTGAGTTGGTTTCCTGAACTTAAGATTCTTAGAGCTGTTAAAAGTATGATTTGAGTACATAAATGCTTTCGGGAACGTCCACCTGCCTTTGCTGATCCTCATCTAGATAAAGATTGTCATGATTTGGAAAAAACAATCAGTTGTACATTTAGTCTTAATTCTTTAAAACACAATCATGATCAGTTTTCTTTAATTTTAGATGCATTTACAAGTATAGCACTGCCAACTGTCCAGAGTTTGTCCCTTGGGAGCCTTTTTTAATTTTTTTATATTGTAGAACTTCAAGATTTTTTCTCACTTGCAGAGTAATTAGTGTTGGCTTGTTATCAAAGAATATAAAATCAGGTAGAACAGTTCCCAGGTTTGCTGTTGTGACTGCTCAGCCTCATTCATCTCTGAAGCGCTTCTAAATCTGTGTATTGAATAAGAACAAGATCAAAAGAGCCTCAAATGAAGGTTCAGATAAGAAAATTCTTTGGTTTAGTATTTGATGATGTATTTCGTGCAACCTGGTAATGTCACTTTTACTATGAAAGTCACTGAATTCAAGTGAATAAAGTTGCACCAGGTAGCCATTTTGTAACTTTGGTGAGTGTTCTTCTTTATGGACTTAGAGTAAGAGATAAACTGCATTAGGATTGCTTCTAAAGCTTTGTTCATTCTAATGACAGCTAACTTGCATGTACATATTTATCAACTAGGACCGACAGTTGCTTTTTAAAAAATGCATAATTAAAAATTCAGTTGTTCAATAGCTGCTTTTAAGAATTCCCACATTCCTTAGTTCATTTTTCATGCAATTCTTGCTCCCAGAACAATTTCAACCATCCTTCTCATGGCTTTCATTCCACATTTTAAGAATGAGAAGAATCTACTTAGAACAATTTGTACTTTGGATTCTTTGTTTTCATTCTTACTGCTATGCTAGGAATTAAAAAGTAAGGATACTGATACTGAAGCTGCTATAATAACTTTTCCGTCTCATAGGCAATTGAAATGTATATTATGAATTGTTTCATGAAACACTTTTAAAGCAAAACTTCACAGCTGGGCATTATGAAATATGTTTTAGAGAATAACAGTGAAATAGAAAATTGCCATAGAAAAGAGAGATCTCTCTTTTCCTGCATTCACATAAATTATTGTCGAATTCAAGCTGAGTTTTTCTCTTCTGCTACAACAGCACCAAGTTTGGAGACACTCAAGTGAAGAAAACGGAGTGAATGTGTATTGATATCAGGTAAAAATGGAAACTAACGTTAGCCCTTGGACTTCCACATGTCTTCTTGCTGGATTTCCAGTTGTCTACTACTTGCAGTTCGGCAGTGGGTGTCATGGTTTAGCCCAGCTGGACAGATTATGAGAGGTTTGTCCTATTATTCTGGTGAAAGGAGCTTTAATAATCTGGCAAAGTTTAAAG